AGGAACACACCAAGGTACCTCTCCTCGAAGAGAACACATCTAGGTATCTATCTACATAGGGAACACATCTGGATAACTGTCCTCGTAGGGGACAAATCTAGTACCTGCCTATATAAGGAACACATCTAGGTACCTGTCCACAGAGGGAAAACATCCAGTTACCTGTTCCTCGTAGGGAACACATCAAAATAACTGCCTACGTAGGCAACACATCTAGGTTCCTGACTACAGGGGGAACATATCTAGGTATCTGTTCTCCTAGGAAACCCATCTAGATACCTCTCTTCATAGGGAACACATCTAGGTACTTGTCTTCCTAGGGAAGACATCCAGGTACCGGTCCTCATAGGGAACAGCACATGCAGGTACCTGTTCTCCTAGGAAACCCATCTAGATACCTCTCCTCATAGGGAACTCATCTAGGTATCTGTCCTCGTAGGAGACACATCCAGGTACCTGTCTACCTAGGGAACATACATAGGTCCAGTCTACATGGAAACCCACCAAGGTACCTCTCCTCATAGGGAACACATCGAGGTACCTGTCCACGTAGGAAACACATCTAGGTACCTGTCTACATAGAAAATACATATAGGTACCTGTCTACATAGAAAACACATCAAGGTACCTGTCCTTGCAGGAAACACATCTAGGTACCTGTCTTTGCAGGGAACACATCTAGGTACATGGCCTCATAGGGAACACATCGATGAACCTGACCTCATAGGGAACATATCTAGGTACCTGTCCTAGCAGTAAACATATCCAGGTACCAATCTACATAGGGAATACATCTAGGTACATGTGTATGTAGGGAACAAATCCAGGTACCTGTCCTCATAGGGAACACATTGAGGTACCTATCTTTGTAGGGAAAACATCCAGGTACCTGTCTACCTAGGCAACACATCCAGGTTCCTGTCTACATAGGAAAACATCTAGGTATCTGTCCTCGCCGGGAACACACCTAGTTACCTATCCTTGTAGGGAAAATATCCAGGTACCTGTCCTCATAGGGAACACATTCAGGTACCTGTCTACATAGGAAACACATCTAGGTACACATCTAGAGTACACATCTAGATACATATCTGTCCTCATAGAGAACATATCTAGGTACCTCTCCTCATAGGGAACACATCTAGGAACCTGTCTACATAGGAAATATATCTAGTTACCTGTCCTCGTAGGGAACGCATCTAAGTACCTGTCCTCATAGGGAACACATTCAGGTACCTGTCCATGTAGGAAACACATCTAGGTTGCTGCCCTTGTAGGGTACAAATCTAGGTACCTATCCACGTAGGGAACACATCTAGGTACGTGTTCTCATAGGAAACACACCCAGGTAACTGTCTACGTAGGGAACATATCTAGGTTCCTGTCTACGTAGGGAACATATCTGGTTACCTGTCTACATAGGGCACACATCTAGGTATCTGACTTCGTAAGGAACACATATTGGTACCTGACTATGTACAGAACACATCTAGATACCTGTCCTCGTATGGAACACATATAGGTATCTGTCTACATACGAAACACATCTAGGTACCTTTCCTCATAGGGAATACATCTAAGTACCTGTCCTCATAGGAAACAAATCCAGGAACTTGTCCTCATAAGGAACACATCCAGGTACCCATCTAAGTAGGGAACACAGCCAGGTACCTGTCTATGTAGAGAACACATCTTGGTATCTGTCTATGTAGGGGACTCTAGGACCTGTCTATGTAGGAAACACATTTAGGTACGTGTTTCACAGGGAACACATTCAGATACCTGTCTAAGTAGGGAAAACATCTAGGTACCTGTCCTCATAGGGAACATATCCAGATACCTGTCTATGTAAAGAAGACATCCAGGTAACTGTCCTCCTAGGGAAAACTTAGTCAATGTAGGGAAGATACCTAGGTATCTGTCCTCGTAGGGAACACCTCCAGTTACCTGTAGGGAACACATCTAGCTACCTGTCTTTGTAGGGAATACATCTAGGTACCTATCCCCGTAGGGGACACATCCAGGTACCTGTTCTCATTGGGAACACATGTAGGTACCTGACCTCCTAGGGAACACATCTAGGTACCTGTCCTCATACGGAACACATCTTGGTACGGGTCTACATAGGGGACACATCCAGGTACTTTCTCTGTAGGGAACACATCCTAGAAAATGTTTATGTAGAGAATACATCCTGGTATCTGTCTATGTAGGGAATACATATAGCTACCTGTTTTCATAGGGAATGCATTTTGGTACTGGTTTGTGTAGGGGACTATCCGGATACCTGACTATGTAGGGAATACATCCTGGTACCTGTCTATGTAGAGAACACACCTAGGTACCTGTCCTCGTACGGAACACATCTTGGTAGTGATCTACATTGTGGACACAACCAGGTACCTATACCTGTGTATGTAGGGACACATCCACGTACCAGTCTACATAGAGAATACATCTTGGTATCTGTCTATGTAGGGAACAAATCTAGGTACCTGTCCTCACAGGGAATACATCTTGGTACTGGTCTATGTTGGAACATATCCAGGTACCTGTCTACGTAGAGAACACATCTAGGTACCTGTCTATGTAGAAAACACATCTGGTATCTCTGTGTGCCAATTTAGGTCATTTATTTCATTCTTTAACTTATTATCTATATTTGCTGAAAGTGACAGCATGAATTCAGTGTAGTTTTATATGCAGTTATTGGATTACAGGCCATTTCTTATGTGGCTGGGACAAATAACACAAACAAATCATGTTGGCTCTGGGTGCCACTACCCAAAAAATATCACTGAGCGCTCAGAGAATGCTGGGGCTCCATGACAAAGAAGCTCCATAGCCTTGTGACGGGACAGGCACACAGACCACTTCAATACCAAGTAACAGATTAAGCCAGAGGAAGTCAACGGTAGGCGTGGGAAGTCTGCACAGCCCTAATAACACAAGGGGTGGGGGTGAAGGTCTGTGCTACTGATGTGATTAGGAAAGTAAGCAGAACTCAGACTGGCTAGAGCAATGGATTTGGGGGAGGGAGTAACAGGAGGTTAGGGTAGGGGGCAAGAGGGGTAGCTGGAGAAGAAAGAAGGCAGCAGCTGGATGTTAAAGCTCCCATTGGCAAATCCAGGTAGTTCAGGCTCAGTCCTGAAGACAGCAGGGTGCCAGGAGGGCAGAAGGTTGGCAGAGCCAAAGCTAAGATGAGCCCAGCTAGCAGCAGAACAGAGAGCAGGTAAAGAGAAAAAGGATAGACTGGGAAGCTGCTGTCACCAGGAACCACTCCACCTTCCCTACACTTTCTTAGACTTTGGGAGAGGGGAGGGGAGGCTGGCAGGGGAGGAGTAATCACTCAAAACATCCTTGCCTTCTTCATCTGCAATCTCCTAGAAAGTTGATTTTAAGACTCCATTCAATCAATACACATAACAATTCTGCATACGAAGAATCTATCCAGAGAGAAAGCAGGAAACGAGAAGGTTATGATTGCAGAAACAGTCTGCACATACTAGATAGCAGGAATTGCAAACAGCTAAGGGGCTTCAGGTCACTCCTAATCATGTCCCACCTCCAGGGTAGTCACCACCAACCCCAACCAGTTCTTCGGGGTCTGCATGGGGTCCCAGAATCCTTCCATAGGCAGCATAAAGTCCCCATTACAACCACTCAAGTCTGCCAGTGAGGCAGGAAAACAGCCACAGGGAATACATAAATGAATGAAATAACAAAAGAATAAAACTTTATTTATTGACAATGGAATTTTAATTTCATGCAATTTTTGCATATCATGAAAAAAAATCATTCTTCTTTTAACTTTTTTGTCAAGCATTAAAAATGTAAAAACTATTCTTAGCCTATGGTGATAGGGGGAAAAAAAAATCAGTCAGTGGGTCAATTTGGGTTCCTGGCTACATTTGTTGAACTCCTGGGCAAGACAAACTTCCTGAAGATCTACTTATTGAACCTTAGAATTCTGATGAATGATTACTTTAAAAGATGGTAACTTGAAGACTAGGTACCAGGAGTTCTAACTCTTTCCATCAGAAAAGTTCACAATTCTGCATGTGAACTTTATACTTTTAAAATTCAATAAGTAGGAAAATATATAATGATAAAAAGCCACTAAGAGTTAAGTAATGGGCGACAGAGTGAGACTCCAACTCAAAAAAAAAAAGAGTTAAGTAATGCTTTTAAATAAATAAGAATTTTATTAATCACAATAATCTTTACATACTTAGTAGTATGAATACATATAAATGTATTTAACCAACCGACAAAGTTTAACATGCATAGAATTCACTGGCCCACAGCAAAATGCTCAGAGTTGTCAATTCTGTTTTGGATGGTCATGAATTCCTAGCAGCAGCTAAATAAGATCTCTTCACCTTCCAGACAGGACACCCTTGGTCATCAAAACATTCTGTCACCAATAGTTACAATGGCTCTAAGTCTTTCTGCAACCCAAGCAAAGAACTTGGCTTCTCAGGGTACTTGTATTTCAGGGACATAGAATGGGTTTAGGGACTCTCTCAACATAGAGAGCTTCTCTGATTCATCTTGGAAGGAATGGTGATGGTAGGTGAGTTACGGCGGTGGGGAGGAGGGGGATTGAATGCTTTATTGATGGTAATTTTTAAAAAAATAAAAGATAGAAATGAGAGGAAAGAAAGAGAAAAAGGAGAGCCTTGCATCCCAAAATAAAATACAAAGGACTTTGCTGGTATTAAATTGCTATGACCTGGAAAGCCATTTAGGAAAACAGTTTTTAAAAAGAGAACCACATTCCTTACCTGTCAATAGGAAAGCCCACACAATATACAGAACTCCAATGCAGACCTCATTTTAATGTGACTACAAAGATCTGTCCTTATACCAGAATTCTGCACAAGTTGACACATATAAGGGAGACCTAGGTTCACATCATCAAGGAACACAAATCACAAAATCTGCCCAAAGGGAAGGCGAGTGCAATCAGCCAACTGGAAGAGGAGGGGAGGACTCACCTGAAGCGGGTGAAAGTGCAGACTGTTATCTGGAGATGTATGTGTATGTTCTGGAGGGAGAACGGGTCTCATTCTGGGCACTGGGAGGCACATTTAAGAAATCCCAAATCAAAATAGTGTCATCATGGGAGCTACTGATGATTTGAAACTCATCAAACTGTAGCCGAAACACACGTCCAGAATGTTCCTGTGAAGTAAAACAACTCCATGAACAAAATGAGACCTTTGTAATCCCTCCTATTTCACAATGAGAAATTTAGCACTAACCGAACATGCAGCTGCTTACATAGGCCTCCTAAATAATTTTGCAGAGTTTACTGAGTTTTGTCTTTCACCCCAAGAACAAATACACTTCCTTTTCTTCTAAGCCTTTCTTTTATTAAACACTGTATCCTAGATCATGGCCCATTAATATATCAAAAATATTATCTTACAAAGGGCCTTGAAAGGGTAAACAACAATATTTACTACCCCTTACTGGCGAACTACCAAAATACACTGTAAAACCTAGAATCAGACGGCTAATTTTTCAAAACATGGCCAAGAATATCTATCTCGAAACATAGCCAACATCAAAATTTGTGGGGATACATAGAAGCATTCCCACTAAAGTCAAGAGGAAAACAAAAATGGCCCTAACTACAGTTCTGTACATTCTAGTCAATGCAAGAAATGAAGAAATAGACATAAAAGGTAAAACTACTGAAAATAAGAAAAATGTCAATATATTCAAATGACTCCTCAAAAATACAACAGATCGAATTGGACTATTAAAAATTATGAGTTTGGAAAACAGTTTTTAAAAACAGAACCACATTCCTTACCTGTCAATAGGAAAGCCCACACAATATGCAGAACTCCAATGCAGACCTCATTTTAATGTTGCTAAACCAAGATTAACATATAAAAATAAAGTCTTCCTATATGCCAAAATAATAAACCACAGAATACAGATTAAGGAGAAATTCCACCTTAATAGTATAAAAATGTGCAGTGTTATAAAAATATAACACAATCATAGATAGCCATATGAAGAATGCCACCACACCTCTTGGGAGGAAATACACATGCTCTACAAGAAAACAGTCCACCTGCAAAGAAGCAGCCTGCATTCATGTAGGATTACTCCCCATAGGAAAGAGCTCCCAGTAAAGTCAATGCCAAATACGCTCCAATTTTGGCTAAGCAAAGTTAGAAGTGAATTTCTCTGATAATACACAAACTTCCTTGTGGTACACCTGGACAGGGCTCTCTGCAGGCAGTCACCCTCCAGCACAGGGAACCCAATCCCATTTCCAGAGATCACATACCACCAATGTTCGTAAACACAAAGTGCTCGCAGGGGCTCGAGGGTCCAGAGCAGCTTGCAAGTCCCAAACTTTAATTTTCCTAGAAAGAAAAATGAGATTGTGATTAGTAGAAAAGTTAACACTTTCTATGTTGCCAAACATTTCCTTGACAAAAAAGAATGGACTTGAGCTGCCTATCATAAAAGCTCACGGGGAACACGCTAATGTCACAAGTTGCTTGAACCAATTACACTTGATTTTGAAAAAAATAAAAACATACACATTCTCAGCATTACTGAAATTTTAAAGAAATACTATTCTAAAGGAGACAAGAAAACAACTTCAGGTTATCTAGATTCAAATCCTGCCATGATAATCTATGTCACCAAACTCAGTAATCAGGGGTTCTCTAGGGCTGAGTAGGTGCTGCTGTCAGAAGCTAGTGCTCCGTGTGAATTCCAAGGATACCTTTCTCCAAATCAAACAAACGCTGAAAGGTAGGAATGTGAGTACAGAAGGGCAAGTAACCATTTGGGAAGTATATACAGGGTCATCTTGAAAGGTTTACAGTTGCCATTTGCTCACTTAAAAACCATGGAGAAAGGAGATTTCTCAATTTACCAAAGGAGAAAAGCTTATTGTTGATAACACACACAGAGCCTGGCTTAGTGTAGGGCGAAGGCAAAGCAGTGAATTTCCCCACAGCCTAAGCTACTCCCAGAGTTTATGACAGTGAAAGGCAGACGTTGAGGAACCACAGTGGCTCTGCTACTTGTGATTTGGGGCAAAATTTTGTTTATCTTTCTGGGCCTGAGTATTCTCAGCTGATCAGCTAGTATATATAATACCTGCCATCCACCACTACACAGAAAGCACTAGCACAGGACCTGGCACATCCAGGATCGCTTAACATACAGCCTTTCTTCTTGACAGAGTGAATTGTCATTTGAAAATCTAGAATACCTACCCATCATAGGCCCCACTGACAATCCTCTTGTTATCAAACCGGATGCATCGGACCAATTCTTCATGCCCCTCTAGGACTCTTAAACAGGCGCCACACTCAATATCCCAGAGCCTGGAGTGAGAAACAGCACTCTGTGAAACAAATTCCCATGCAGGATCCACATGATCTTCAAGTTCTTTATATCTGCTCCACACAGATATGACTTTTCACTATCCTTGAGTCCTCTATTTCTATCTTGCTCCCAGTCCACACTACACACATAAAGCGATATGTGTACATTCATACCGTTTGGGTATTTCTAGGCACTATCTTAGGAGGAAGTTTTACTTTTCATGGTATTTCCTTTTCTACAGTTTGAAACCATTTTTAATCATGTACACATATCACTATTTAAATAAAATCAATAAACAAGAAATTTCAGTTCTATTTAGTTTGTAGGCATTCTCTGGATGTCTGAGTTCATGAAACTTCATAGTCAAATGGCCTAGGAAGGACTTTTCTGGGGAGGCAGGGATTGCAGGCAGGAAAGGAGAAAAGGCAGTGTGGGGTGGGGGAGGCAAGAGATGGTGCACACAGTCAGGGGTCACGCTTCTGCCCCAGGCACTTCTAGCCCAGTGGAGTCCCTGAGACCCACTGAGGTTGGAACTAAGGGACCAGTATGGTAGTCTCTTTCTCCTGATGAGGCTTAAGGACACTTCTTCCTTGCTATCTACTGCATAAAAAGCAGTGTGCATACTATGGTTGGCTGGTTTACAAAGTCAGAGTGGAGACTTGCTAGGTATTTGCAGTGTTTTCCCGCTGGCTACACCAAGCCTTTTTCTTCATACATGAATTAAATAACAATTCTGGAGTTAGAGATTATTTTTTTGCTTTTTTCCTATTATAATAGATTATTCCATGTTATTTGCAAAAATAAATCACGCTAACTAGCATGTAAAAAACAAAGTAAGGAAACTAATTCTATAATGACTTTTTCCTGCCCCTCCACCAGTAACTCCTATTACACATCCAATGAACATTTTACAAAACTGCCCTCAGTAAACCTTCTTAGTATCAGTGATGAGAGTTTCTCTCATCTGTGATCAGAGCCATTAAGCACTGCCACTGATTCCAAAGTGGGTTCGTTTATCTATAAACTGCAGAGTAATACACATTACTATGTTGCAAATCCTCAGAGATTCCGAGTTAATAACGGTTTATTGATGAAATATTAAGCAGGACCATAGCATGATGAATACAAAAGAACCAAGATGTAAGCTCTAAACTAACTTTCATGATATCGTAAAGCCTAAAATGATGAAGAAAATATAACAGTAGTTATAGCTTTTTTGCTTACCTTTTTAAAAAATCAACTTGAGCCCAATCTTTATTTTAACCAAACATTAGGCTATTTGGTTATAAACACCGAAGTTAAGTTACAGTCACTTAAGTACAGCTAACAGCTTGTGTTGAGATAGTGAAAAAATGACTTGGGATAATTAAATAGATATTTAAGGGGATTTTTTTTTCTTCCCTAGACAGTGTCTTACTCTGTCACCCAGGTTAGAGTACAGTGGTATAATCTATAGTCCACTGCAGCCTCGATCTTCTGGGCTCCAGTGATCTTCCCATCTCAGTCTCACAGGTAGCTGGGACTACAGGTAAGCACCACTGTGCCCAGCTAATTTTTTTTTAGTTTTTGTTGAGATAGGGTCTCATTGTGGTTTCCAGTCTAGCGTCAAGAACTCCTCTTGCCTCAGCCTCCTAAAGGTCTGGATTACAGGTGTGAGCCACTGTGCCTGGCCAAGGATGTTCTAAATAAGATATAAAATGCCCAAGGCTAGTCAGATATATTAGAAAGCAAGGAGACTGAATGCTGGGAAGAGAAAAGGGAGGTAAAACAAATGACCCAGCAGGTGTGAATGATTTTGTAATGTAGTCTTGGGAGCGAGAAATAAAGTGCACTCCTTTCTGCCAGGGAGGAAGGTAGGGGCTCACAGGGAAGGAAGATCAGAGCAAGCTGTGCTGGAGCACTCTCATCTGCTCTGAGTGCTCTGGGATTAAGTGATCCAGGTGGAGCTGAGGTGATAAGATTTTGTGTACTGGGGGGATCCTGGAAGAACGCCCAGGGCATACACAGCTTTCCCACTTGAGTGGGTAGAGCCTGAGAGATTTGAAAAAGTTACCTACAGCTTTCTGATCTGACGCGTCCCATTTACTCTGAGTCATTCCAGCATCAGAACTGGGAGATGAATCAATACTGCGGTGAGAATAAGCCTGTTCTGTCAGCACACCAGCTTCTACCCACCTAATGGTATTATCTGATGATCCACTAACAACCAGCCGATCCCTGTACTGGAGACAGGCAATGCCTCGCTTGTGCCCATTGAGAGTACGAACAAACTCACAGGTACTCGTGCTCCAGACCTGCATAACAAATTAGCGACATCATGAATGCAGAAAAGTCTTCTCACAATATGCCTTTAAAAAAAAAGAGAAACCTTCTGAGAATGACCCAAATATGTGATTTATTATAAAACACAGTCTATTCTACCTGAAAACTGGGAGGCGGGGGACATATTGGACAGTATAACTTTCCTTGGCTGCTGAGTGGTGAAACTAGCAGGAAACAGAGGAAAGTAGTGAAGCCTGCAAATTCTGAGATCTTTACAAAGAGAACATCTCCCAGATGATTCAATGTTCATGTGCCCGGAGGAAAGAGTCTGGGCCAGATGTTATGTTTTTACACCAGCTGACATGTCAAACCTAATGTAACTGATGTAAAAAAGCTTCACCTTTCATATCATTCTCTTTTCCAGGACATTTTCTTGAACAACTCCATTTGTCTTGACACATTACTCCTAATATTATGTATGTGGAATAAATAATCCCTTCTTTGGTGAAATCATCTGGAAGACTTAGACATTCATAAACACCTTAACATATTATAAGATAAATAAGGAGATACACAGTACCCTGAATTATTGTACCAACTGCATTTGCAGCTGAATGGGATAAATAGATATCCACATGCAAAACAATGGCACTGGATCCCTACCTCATACCTTATACAAAAGATTAACTCAAAATGGATCAAAGACTTACATGTACGAGCTAAAACTATACAACTCTTAGAAGAAAGCACAGGAGTAAATCTTTGTGACCTTGGATTTGATCAACAGTTTCTTAGATATCCCAACAAAAGCATTAGCCACAATAGAAAGAAAATTGGTCAATTGGATGTCATCAAAATTCATCATTTGTGTTTCAAAGGATACTATCAAAAAAGTAAAAGACAACCCACAGAAAGGGAAAACAATATTTTCAAATCATATATCTGATAAGGGACTTGTATCCAGAATACATAAAGAACTCACAACTCAACAATAAAAAGACAAATTACCAATTTTTTAAATGGGCAAATGATTTAAATAGACACTTCTCCAAAGAACATATACAAATGGCCAATAAGTATACAAAAAGATGTTCAGCCACCATTAGTTACCAGAGAAGGCAAGGCTAACCACAGAGATGCCACTGCACACTCCCCAGGACAGCCATAATAAAAAAGACAGACAATAACAAGTGTTAACAAGGAAATGGAAGGACCCTCCATGACAGTATTATGAGACAGCTGTTCGGTCATAAAGCCCAAACCCTCCTAACTTCCAGGCACTGGTCTTGTATTGACTGGTGTGACTGTAGGAGTAAGCAATCGCATACAAATCCCAGCTGTTCAACTTCCCAACTGCCCAATCTAAAGTCTGATGCTACAGACTCCATGAGTTGTGGAGCGAAATACCAGAATGCTGTCTGGTGCTGCTCATATGAAAAAGGTTCTCTAGCAAGTTCAAACCCTCATACACTGTTGGCAGGACTGTAAAATGGTATAGCCTCTTTGGAAAACAGTTTAGTCATTCCTTAAGATGCTAAACACAGTTACCATCCCATGAAAATTGAAAGTACACACTAAAACTTGCACACAAATAATTACAGGAGCATCATTCATAATAACCCCCCCCCAAAAAAAGGGAGGAAACAACCAAAATGTCCATCAACTAATAAATGGTAAACAAAATGTGGTACATTCACACAGTGGAATTCTGTTCAGTCAACAGAAGAAGTGAAGTACTGCTATATGCCCAGTGAACATAGATGAGCCATGAAAACATTATGATAAGTAGAAGAAGCAGACACAAAAGGCCACATATTGTATGATTCCATTTAAATGAAATGTTTAGAAAGGCAAATCCATAGAGAGAGAAGGTAGATTAATGATCACCAGAAACAGACAGGAGAAAGCGGTGCTGACTGTTAATGGGTATGAGGTTTCTGAGAGGGTGATGCAAACATTCTGGAACTGGACAGCAGTGATGTCTTACAACATGTCAATGCAATAAAGGCCACTGAACTGTACTCTTTAAAATTCTGAATCTTAGGGGAATAGAAATTACAGTTCAGTGCCTTTTCTTATAAAAATATAAGAAAACTAAAATTCAATAAAGTCAGCATGGATATTGGAATCAGAACTACATTTGCCATATCCTGTGGCTCTCCCTAGACTACAGCCGCCTGTCATATGTCTGCCTCTAGTCCACCACATGCCAAGCTTCTTGAAGGGAAGGTCCTGTCTTATTCATCATCCTAGCTCCAGCTTCCAGACCAGGGCCTATGACATGGCAAGCTCTCAAAGTCAGATGAATAAATCAAATCCTTGCCCTGACAGTGACTAGTTGTGTGATCACCTACACAATTCTTCACTCCCTGAGTCACATCTGTAAAATGGGGGCAATACCTACCTTAAAAGAGTGTTGCAAAGGTTAACTGAGATGGTAATGCAAAGCTCCTAGCACACAGTATATGCTCCATAGGTTAGCTCTCTCTCCTTTAAAAGGATGGTCAAGAATATCATTTCATGAATCAGAGGACTGCTATCTCTTCTGGACCCGTGATTTCCTCCTACCTTGCCTACAACTTTCGAGGCACGTAGAGTGGGGTGGCCCCAAGGGTTCATCAACACAAATGGAAGAGAACAAAGAGCTCGCCAGGTAGCAGGTTGGTATAAGCCGCTTCTGCTTTCTCTCTGTTCTAAAAGGGACACGAGCAGGCAGGGTTATGACTGCAAACACACTTACTTTGATGGTCCTGTCGCCAGAGGCAGACACGATGTACTTATCATCAAAGTCTACTACGTTCACAGCAGCACGGTGGCCAACCAGGACACGGCGTAAAGTGATATCGGTGGCAGAAGCCATGTCCCACACAGCAATGGAGCGGTCCTTAGAACAGGTCACCATGAGTCCATTGCTGAAGCGTAAGTGCAGCACAGCCTCATTGTGGTGGATCAGTGTGTTTAGCACTTCACCCGTGTTCACATCCCAGACTCTACGAGACAGAAGAACATGACACATAAATTACCCATAGCACGCAAATGGAATAAAATGGGGTCCATTCTGAATGAACCTAAGGACATGATTCAAAGGAGTCCCCAGAAGCAATGTATTTGCTGAGAAGGGCTGAGATGGCTTCAGAAAAGGTGGCTAATTCTGGCTCTGTGCAGGTTTAGGTGTACTTAACAGTCAGGTATTCAGAAATGGCATCTGCAGGCAAAATTTGATTCCTCAAGGAAGTGGGCTTTGCAGGGAGTCTGAGGTGGCAGGAGAAAGGGCTTGGTGGCCGATGAATCGAGGACAGGTCTAAGCTTACAGTTCCTGTTGACCTCTGACAGCCACCACAAAGATTTTATTATTATTTACCCACCACAAAGATTTTAAGTATTGACATATCATCAGTCACCACAGCTACTCCTTTACTAGCTGCTTTATGGACAAAGCCAGGTCTCCCAGTTGCTTCACACTTAAGATCCAGGTTTTAGAGACAGCCCTTCCAAGTCATAGCTTTTCTGTAACCCCAGTCTCCTAAGGGAGCAGACACCGGTCTGAGTCCATTATTTGTCCACTGCAAACTGGAGACTCTAAGTCATGATGACTCATCAATGACCACACCCACCTCCTTTATGGACAAAGTTGGGGGAAGGGGAAATGCCCAGAGGTAGAGACAGAGCTATCAATAACGCTCCCTTTTTACTCTTTCAACTCCATCTAGCAGTCACTGCCTCCCTTCAACTGTGGAGCACTGCCATTTCCATCTTAGCACTCTACCCCTGAGGTGAAGACTGGACATCCGTGTTTCCACTGTACTGGAAAGGATGCACACAAGGTCATGACCGACATCAACTCAAGGTTCAAAATGTACTAACTACATGACTCTGAGGAAATTAGCCTGTCTTGTCTGGGTTTCCTAATACAACTATAAAAATGAAGGTAACATCTACCTACTCAGAAAGGCTGACGTGAGAACTCAACAGGATAACATTGTATGAAATATCTAATATGCTGTCTCCTTGCCTGTGTCCCTCAAGAGTCTGCAAACTGCTTCTGCCTCCCTAAATTTTTATAGGTTGCCTCACCAAACCCCGGGACAGCTGCCTTCCTCCCTGCTGCTCTGGACCACAGCTTCCCAGAGGGGAAAGCCAGCCTCATATGAGGCAATGTGCTCTCACAGAAAAGTATTTGTTCACCTCTAGTACACGGCAATGGGATACACTTAACAAAAATTAGCTTTCTTGCCTCACAGGCTTAAACATGTCTACATCAAAAGGAGTCTGAAATACAGCACACAGAAATGGATACGAAGTATGAATACCTATCCCAGAGGAGGGTGTGGGTCTCAGTCTCCTCATGGAAGACTCACAAGTTCAGACCAAGGAAGCCGGATCACTCACCTCACTGTAGAATCTGAAGAGCCAGTAACAATGACACGTTCATCATACTGGAGACAGAGGACAGAGCCTGTGTGCCCTGTTAACACTTTCAAACATTCTAGGCTGGTTTTATCCCAAATCTATCCAGAAAAGATCACAAACAATGATTTATTAGATCACATTCTGATGAATTTCACCATCCCCCTCTGTGTTCCAAATCATAAAACACATGTGTTATAACAAATAAGAAAAATTAAATATCAAACAGGTGGGAAGCAACAAGTAGGAATGGGGTAATATCGACTGATTACCAGAAAAGATGTGCTACTTGTTAATTTGTACCTTTAGCTACTGTACTCATTATGCTTATTAACAGCCTTATAACGGGGATTTTAAAAAAATAAAATCTGTGAAAAGAGTTGGCTCACTATCTAGAAAACAATGTGACATCTATTAAGACCTTTTAAAAATGTTTATAAAATAAAAAATGGAAAATGAAATGTCCAACATTTCAGAAAAATCTCAAAAATTGTGAAGAGTTCAGCATTTTTAAATACCAGAATAAAAAATTGTCTATAAAGTGACACGAGTATGTATATTTAAAGGAAAAAAGAAAAAAAGGAAGTAAAATGTTATTAATAGTTGTTTTTATACTGAGTGCTCTTTTTCTTTCTTCTTTTACTGCTTCCATGGATTTGCCTTTTCCAGAATGCCACAGAGTTGGAATCATACGGTGTGTAGCCTTTTTCACTTATGCATTTAAGGCTCTTCCCTATCTCTTCATGGCTAGATATATTTTTGCACTAAAAGCTATTTCATTGCCTGGATGTACCAAGGTTTATTTATCTATTCATCTACTGAAGGACACTTTGGTTGCTTCCAAGTTTTGGTAATTACAAATAAAGCTGCTATAAATATCGACGTGAAGGTTTCTGGTATGGACATAAGTTTTCAATTCCGTGAGTAAATACTAAGCAGTACTACTGATGAATCATCTGCTAAGAGTATGTTCAGTTTTGCAAGAACTGCCAAACTGCCTTCCAAAGTATATCATTTTGCATTTTTCCCAGCCGTGAATGAGAGTTCCTGTTGCTCCACATCCTCGCCAGTTTTTGGTGTTGTCGGTGTTCTGGAATCTGGTCATGCTCACAGTCATTTAGTAGCATCTCGTTATTGCTTTAATTTGCATTTTCCTGATCAGTTATGACATGGAGCACCTTTTCACAGGCTTGTTTGCCAACTGTGTATCTTGGTGAGGTGTCTGTTAAGGTCTTTGCCCCATTTTTTAGTCAGTTGCTTATTTTCTTATTGTTGGGATTTAAGAGTTCTTTGCACATTTTGGATAAATCTTTCATCAGATATGTATTTTGCATGTATTTTCTCCTAGTATGTGACCTATTTTTTCAATCTCTTCACAATGTCTCTCACAGAGCACAAGCTTTTAATTTTAATAAAGCCCAGTTTATCAATTCTTTCTTTCATGAATTGTGCCCTTGGTTTTCTACCTAAAAAGTGACTAACAAACTAAAGATCATCTAGATTTTCTCCTACATTGTATTCTAGGAGTTTTGTGTTTTAAATGTATGTCTGTGATCATTTTGAGTTGCTTTTTGTGAACTGTATAGGCTCTATGTCTAGATTCTGTGGAGGGACACACTGATGTCTAGTTGTTCCAGTACCATTTGTTGAAGAGCGTATCTTTCCTCCACTGCATTGCCTTTGCTCCTTAGTCAAAGATCAGTTGACTATATGTATGTAGGTCTATTTCTGGGCTCTCTATTCTGTTCCATTGGTCAGATGTCCATTCTTCTGCCAGAAACAGGCTGTCTTGATTAGTGTAGTTTTATAGCAATTCTTGAAGGAGAGTAGTGTTCATCCTCTGACTTGTTCTCCTCCAACATCGTGCTGGCTTTTGCCCCTCCATATAAATGTTAGTCAGGTTGTTGATAAGCACAAAATAACACACTGGAACTTTTGACAGGAATTGTGTAGAATCTATAGACCAATCTGGGAAGAACTGACACCGACACAATAGTCTTTCTACTCATGAGTACAAAATATCTCTCCATTTATTGTTATTTGATTTTTTATCAGAGTTTTATAGTTTTCCTCACATAGATCTTGTATACATTTTGTTAGATTTATACCTAAATATAATTCATTGCTGGTACATAGGCAAGCAACTGACTTATGTATATCAACCTTGTATCCTGCAATCTTGCTATAATCACTTGTTAGTTCTAGGAGTATTTTTGTTGATACTATCAGTTTTTCTACAGACAGCTATGTTATCCATAAGCAAAGACAGTTTTATTCCTTCGCAATCCATATACCTTTTATTTCCCCCTCGTCTTAATGCATTAGCTAGGACTTCCAGTATGATGTTGAAAAGGAGTGGTGAGAGAGGACATCCTTGGCTTATTCCTGACTTCAGTGGTAAAGCTTCAAGTTTCTCACCATTAAGAATGATGTTAGCCATAGACTTTTTGTAGACACTCTTTGTCACGTTGGAGAAGTTCTCTATTCATAGTTTACTATGAGTTTGTTTAATCATGAATGAGTACTAGATTTTGTCAAATGCTTTTTCTGCATCTATTGAGATGATAATGTGATTTTCTTCTTTAGTCTGTTGATATGATGAATCATATTAATTGACTTTCAAGCATTAAAAAAGACTTGCATACCTGGAATAAATACCACTTGGTTGTGTTGAGTAATTCTTTTTATACATTATTAGACTGGGTTTGCTAATATTTTGTTGAAGATTTTTGTGTCCATGATCATGAGAGATATTCATCTGGAGTTTTTTTGTCTTGTAATATCTTTGTCTGGTTTTGGTACTAAGTTAATGCTGGCCTCATAGAATGAGTTAGGAAGTATTCCCTCTGCTTCTATATTCTTGAAACAATTGTAGAGAATTGGTATAACTTCTTACTCAAATGTTTGGTAGAATTCAACAGCAAACCCACCTGTGCCTGGTGTTTTCTGTTTTGGAAGGTAATTCATTATTGGTTCAATTTCTTTAATAGATAAAGGCCTATTCAGATTGTCTATTTGTTCTTGTGTGACTTTTAGCAGATTGTGTCTTTCAGGAAATTGATTCATTTCATCTAAATTATCAAATATGTGGGAACAGAGTTGTTCACTATATTCCTTTTTATTAACGTTCATGGGATCTGTAGTGATGTTTCCTCTCCTCTCTCATTTCATTAGGATATTATGAACTTGAGTCTCTTTTTTTCCCCTAAGTCAGCAGAATGAGGGGCTTATCAGTTTTACTGATCTTTTTTTTTTTTTTTTTCAGTTGGAGTCTCACTCTGTCACCCAGACTGGAGTGCAGTGGCCGCTCCCGGCCACTGCAACCTTGACCCACTGGGCTCCGGTGATCCTTCCAGCCTCAGCCTTCCAAGTAGCTGGAACTACAGGCGCGCGCTACAACGCCCAGCTAATTTTTTGATTTATTGTAGAGATGAGGTCTCGCCAAGTTGCCCAGGCGGGTCTCGAACCCACGGGCTCAGGCAATCCACTCGCCTCAGCCTCCCGAGGCGTGGTACTGATCTTTTCAAAGACACATCTTTTGGTTTTGCTAATTTTCTTTGTTGACTTCCTATTTTCAGTTTCATTGACCTCTGCTCTAAGTTTCATTATTTACTTTCTTCTGCTTACTTTGGATTTAATTTGCTCTTCTTTTTCTTGTTTCCTAAAACAGAAGCTTAGGTGGCTGATTTCAGATCTTTTTTCTTTTCTAATATATGTACTCAATGCTATACAATTCCCTCCAAGCTTTCACTACATCCCACAGATTTTGGCATGTTGCGTTTTCATTTTCATTTAGCTCAAAATAGTTTTAAAAATTTCTCTAGAGATTTCTCCTTTGACCCATATGTTATTTAGAGTTGTGTTACTTAATCTAAAAGTATTTAGGAATTTTCCCAGCTATGTTACTATTATTGATTTCTAGTTTAATTCCACTGTGGTCTAAGAGCATATGCTGTACAATTTCTACTCTTTTAAGTTTATTAAGGTGTGTTTCACAGCCCAAAATGTGGTGAATGTTCCATGTGAGCTTGAGTAAAATGTATATTCTGCTAACATTAAATGAAGTAATCTATAGTCTACCCTAAAAAGTAATCTACATTATACTCAGTTGGTTAATGGTGTTGTTGAGTTCAATTATGTCCTTACTGACTTTCTGCGTGGTGGATCTGACAAGAGAGTGCTGAAGTCTCCAACTACAAAAATAAATTCATTTATTGAAGTTCTATCAATTTGTACACCACATATTTTGACACTTTGGTGTTAGGTACATACAAAGGATTGTTTTGTGTTAAAGAACAGACCCCTTTGCCATTATGTAATATCCCTCATTCGTTCTGATAACTCTCCTTGCTCCGAAGTCTACTCTGGTTGAAATTAATATACCTAACTTCTGCTCTCTTTTCATTAAGTGTTAGCATGGTATATCTTTCTCCATTCACTTACATAATCTATATGTGCCTTTACATTCAAAGTGAGTTTCTTATAAACAACATATACATGGGTCTTGTTTTCTGATCCACTCTGACAATCTGTCTTTTTATTGGTACACGTAGACCACTGACATTCTAAGTGATTATAAATAAAGTTGGATTCGTATCTACCATATTTGTTATTGTTTCTTAATTATTGCCCTTGTTCTTTGTGCCTATTGTTGTCTACCACTCCATTTCTGCCTTTTCTGGTTTTAATTAAGTATTGCAAATGATTCTATTTTCTCTCCTTTCTTAGCACAACAGTTACATTTTTTTTTAAAGAGGCTGCCCTAGAGTGTGCAATTACATTTACATCTAATCCAAGTACATTTCCAAATAATAGTATACTGTTATTGTTATCACAGGTGTATCTGATAATACCAGAAATAATTCTAACTCCTCCCCCCATTGCTTGCTTCATTGCTGTTATTTTACTTCCTTCACTTTTGAAGGATAACTTTGCAGTATACAGAACTCTAGGTTGGTGATTTTTTTTCCTAAAACTTCAAATATTTCAGTCCACTCTCTCATGCTTGCATGGCTTCTGAGGAGAAGATGTAATACTTATTTTTTATCCTCTCTCAGTGTTTTTTTTTCCTCTGACTTCTTTCAGGACTTTACCTTTGATT